AATTAAATCCGGAAATTTTTTCTCCCTCATGAATATTTTTAGAAAATTATCCCTCGTCTTCGACTCGGGATAATTTTCAAAATATTCATGAGCTCGAAAAAATTTCCGGAAATAATTTGACCTCTAGTGGTATTACTAGTGAAAATTTACCTACAGTGTTATTACATAAAATTCTTAAAGTTTTTTTTATGAAAATAAAATAAAATATATATGAAGGGGTAAGAAGCAAAAGCGTACAAGTGCATTTTAGTATGGAAATAAGTTAAGTGCAGGATTGGGTAGTCATAACGTGAAAATTGTACTATAGTACATAGTTCTGCATGTTGATTAATGCAAACATTGAAACAAGTATTTAGATTTTTGTATATAGCAGAAATTTTAGTTAATAACTTCACTTCTCACACTTGTGCCTTGTTGCTTCTCACACCTTCATATGTAACATGTACAAAGGTGGCAATTTAATTATTTTTTTTTACTAAAATGGCAGTTTAAAACCAAAAAAACGTTTTCAAAGTAGTAAACTTTAGTTTGAATTAAATGCAAGAAAAGGTTGCCTTACTCATGAAACATTCTAAAATTTAAATATTCTTTAAATAGTTTTAATAACCACTACAAAACGTCAAAAGAACTAATTTATAATGAATAAAATTAAATAAAACTATATACATATACTGTATGCTATATATAAATAATACATTAAGTCGTTATTTTCCACAAGCCAGCAATTCCTCAATGGAAATTTTAAACAAAATACAATAACAATTATTCCACAATGACTAACAATTTGGTATTGTTTACAAACAAATTAAAACCTTTATTTTATTTAGTTCGCCCACGTGTATTATAACAAGCAAATTTACTCGGAACTAAATGAATTTATACGTAAAACTAAAATAAATTGTAAATTGAAAATAATGTTTTTAAATGCAATATTTATTTATTAATTTAACTTAAAACTTAAAAAAAAATTGTCGAGTAGTTTTTGTGTTTCATTAAGTGCACATAAAATAAGCTTAATTGTTAAACGTCTAAAAAGGTCAGTTTGTGTCAAAAAAAATTAAATAATTATAATAAACTTTTTTAATTAAAAAATTTGTTCTATCCTAAAATTTAAAATTTAAATTAAGATTAATTAATTAAATCAATAAATTTCATAGGGTATAGTATAGTATTAATGTAGTTTATTTCGAAAAATTTATCGACATAAATATTGATCCATAAAATGCGAGAACTTGTATAATAAAATTAAAAAGTACCATAATAGTTTAGGGGTTAAGGCTGATTAAGTCTTTTTGTGCTGAGCGAATCGCAAAAAGAAACTTATCAGCTAAATGGCTTACAATGTTTTATCTTCAAGGCACAATTTTATTTGTTTAACGATACATAAACTGGTACAATTATAATAATTATTATTAAAAGTAGAAAGTAAGGTTAGATAGAAATAATATTGCTCAATTTTTTTTAATTGGTCCAAACGTATTTTTTACAGACTAGGAGGTAAACAAACTTTACCAATTTGGGCTTTTAATAATTGTTATTATAATTGTAGGTTTTATGTATTGTTTTACAAATAAAATTATGCCTTGGACATGTGTGCCGGCAGAAAATAATCCATGGGGGGGGGCAAAATAAATTATATTTCTTGAAAACCGTTAATATTTTTTAAAGGCTAGGGTTCTATTTATTTAATTCACATGTACATCACATCAAGTCCTACTTTGATAATTGATGTATTTAATCACCAATTTCGTCTTATTTTCTGAAAATAATACAAAATGTAATTTTTTTGTGAATAAAGGTCTTAATTGATAAAAGAAAAATACATATTTTTCATTATTTTCAGAAAAGAGAAAATTTGTGTTAAACTAAGAGATATGTACATAAACTCAATTATTTGACTGCATTACTTATGTTTAAGTGGGACTTTTTAATAATATAATATATTATGTAATATATGTATATTTTGAAATCTCAGTGCGATAAAAAATTAAATAATTTTATTTCATAAAATTTTATTTTAAAAATAAAAAAATTGTTAAAATTCTACAAAAATTATATTTATTATAGTACAAGGTCGGTTAAATTAGAAAAAAAGTAAATAAAAGCCTATAAAATCAAACTTGTAAATTAACAAAAAAAAAACAAAAATCGTTATAACTTCGTTATTCCTGTTAATTTAAAAAAAGTAAGTACCACTTTTCAGCAAAATATTCAAAAAGGGGCCATATTTTTTATTTACTTAAAAAAATTACTCTAAAAGTTATTTTTTGAACGTTTATTCATTATTAAATAAAAGGGCTTTAAAAATATTTTCTCGAAAAACCCTCGAACACGTAAACTGAGATATAAGTTTAAGTATTTTTATCCAAAATTTCATAAAGAATAATTAAGACGTTTTAGAGTTATTTTTTTACAGTGGTTCCAAAAATTATGGCTAACACTGTATATAGTCAATTTGATGCTCTAGAACCTCTTAAAATTAATAACGTTTAAATTGGATCACCACAGGTTCAGATTTAATATATACAGATATATTAAATCTGAACCTAACTAACACCAATAAAAATTTGAATAGTTAACAAAATTAAACGAATGAAGATACTAAACAATAAGGTATTCTATGACAATTTAATGAAAAGCAAAAAATGTGCGCAGTATTAAAAACCTATCACAATATATTGTTTTAAAAGTCAATTTAGCTGGCACGTGCAGCTTGGCGTAAACAAGATTCTAATTAAAATTTCCCGGAATTTGCATTTTTCGATGAAAATAAATGCCGGCACACAAATAATTTTCCTGTTATATTTAATGTTGTCAGTAAATTTAAGCACGTCAATGAAATTATTATCTGATGTTGCAAAACACCAGAAAATAAGCCTTTGTTGCGTCACACAATTTTGAAAATTGAGTTTTATACACAATTTTGTACGTTCTCTAAAGCCATATCGATTTTCTTAATATTTTCACCCATAATATAACAGTTGGTGAAAAATTAAGATGTTCGCGTTTTCTCTTTAAATTGTTAACACTTATCGTTAATTATGCGAAAATTTGTAGTTCTTCTATTCTATTTAAATGCCTAGATAACTTTTATCTAAGGTTATCTGACACAACACAATAACATAAACATTACGCTAAAGAAGCATCGCTAGTAGCGCCACCACGTGGGCGTTATCATCGTAATAAAACAACAACTTTTAATAATTAAAATCAGATGTCATCGTAATAAAACAACAACTTCTAATAACCATAATCAGATGTCAAACGCGTATGTTATAAACGAGTTTTTTCAATTCAATAAAAATTATAAAACAAATAAGTCGTCTAAATTCAAACAGCTTTATGCATTATTTAAAGCGTTGATTAAGAAAGTCTCCATTCAATGGTAAAAAAAACAAAAACCGGTAGTTAATGTAACGTGGTGATAATAGTACATTCCTTAACAAGTGCAAAAGGAACTTTTTTAACCGAATGTGAAGTTCGCAAGAAGGGTAACCAAGCGCACCCAAATTACCCTAAAGAAGTTGTTAACCTCCCAAAGTATAGTAGTTTAAATAATGTTTTCATATTTTCTTATTTATTGACTATTCTAAAAATTGTTCAAATTTCTGTTTTTAAAACATATAGCAGATAAGTATCTCGATTTGTACTTAATCTTTCCTGATTACTTAATATTTGCTTACATGATGCATTTATGTCTTCAGATTTTATCGTTACATCCTTTTAAACATTTTCTAATAATTGTGTTGATATGAGTCTGCATAATGTATGCTTTTAAACTCTCATGCAGCTTTAGAAGTATTCATTCAGGGTAAATAGTACGAAATTTTGAAAACGAGAGGATTCTAAACCAAATTAAAACAGTGTTTGTTTAATTTGCAGATAATTTCCGACCATTTTTAAAATAGGTAGGTACTTGGGAAGTGGGTTACTATTATTAAAACTTCAAACAATAAACATTGCGTTTCACAAAAGCAGATTAATTATCTTTTAAACAATAATACGATAGTTTTCATTGCCCCAAATGTTTGGCATTTCAAAAGTTAGAACGTTAGAAATGATATATTAGGTATCTATATAAAAATGTAAAAGAAAAAAACTAACTTATAGTTATCTAATTCTGTATTACTATTTTTTTCTATAATATAATAGGTAAAAACAATATTATAAAATTTGTTTGCAAAAATGCCTTAAAGTAAACTAATAAGTTACTAAAGTTCATTTTTTTTATCTAGACTGCGGCAACGTTGCAAATTTAGGGTTTTGGTTGGTAAATACAGTTGTCAAGTTGGTCGCATTGATTAAAACAAACTAAGCTAGTTATAAATCTAATTGTGGTTATGTATAAATTATTGTAGGTTACATTGTGCAGTTGTCAAGTTGAGTTGTCGAAATTCGTAGTTAAAAATGCAATTAATTTGGCTTTGGTGGTGCTTGGATGAGTAAAATCATATAAAAAAGTAGTTAAATATAGGTTGGTTTACGGCCCAGAAGAGAAAGTATTCCTAGCGGATAATAATCTTCGCTTTGAAAAGAATTTATATAAAAGAAATTAAAATTTTTTGTAAATGTCCAATGGTGAATAATGTGAAAATAATGTGTGATGTAATATTTATAAAACCAAACTCGTTACTTTTTTACTCTAAAAATGTCCATAAGGCGATTTACTTTTTCTTCCATTGTGGCATTTGGCATAATTTCATCAAAATGAAGTTTTGCCCTCAAAAGGGCTTTTACATTTGAATTCGTTGCTATTATTTTTGGCATAATTATCTTTTTATTTATAATTGACAAGTAAATTATCAAAAATAAATATTATTGTCAATTTGACAGTGTCAAAGTATTTAATTAGTCTTTAGCAGAAGTGGCATTTTTAAATACCCAAACTGGCATAAGCCACCAACCTAACAAAAAACTGTACTTTATTCCGTTTTTATCATAAATAAAAAAGTACAACTAAAAGGCGGCTTATCCTTAACTTAAAAAAGTCAAATCCTTGTTTAAAAATCATCGACAAATTGTGTTTTAATAGAAAACCCGGTATATCTTAATAAAAATTTATTCCATCTTACCTTTAATAGTGTTAAAATTTTCTGTGACAGATCATAGTCGAAATTGGAGTATTTCGAATTGGACATGTCATATATAAACACTATGCCGGCCTTTTGGGTTAATGGGTCCTCCAAGGCAACGTCCAACTGATAGACAACACCCTGTAGAGTGGTTTGATGCGTGCTGCTTTGCGGGATGTGTTTGTGTGCTGTGAACACGGCTATGGCTGCGTCTGAACCATCTCTGTTCGGCTAAAAAAAAATAATGTTTTATTAATTTTCTTGTATTAAAATTTAATGTCCTAGTTATAAACATTAAAAAAAAAATTTTGGTTTTAGATTTTGTAAAATTTGGCAACTATTTAAATTGATTATTTCCCTCATTATAATATCAACCAATCAAAAGCCTTGAATTTTCGAATAAATTTCGTTTAAATAAGCGATTAAATCACTAGAATTATTTAACAGCGATTAAATTTTAGCCTCCATATTGGATTTTTGTTTACGATTTTATGTTGTTATTTACAAGTTTTAACAAACATTTTTTAAAAAACAATAAAAAATAAGTTATCTAGTTTACGAAATATCAATTATTACTTATTACATATATGTAGGTATACCTTAAATTAATGGAATTTTCACTAGTAATACCACTAGAGGTCAAATTATTTCCGGAAATTTTTTCGATCTCATGAATATTTTGAAAATTATCCCGAGTCGAAGACGAGGGATAATTTTCTAAAAATATTCATGAGGGAGAAAAAATTTCCGGATTTAATTTGACCTCGTGTGGTATTCGGTAAGAAAATTCCACACCAAATTGTGTTTAAATAAAATTTATTTTTTGATTTAACTTATTTAGTTACCATGGCAACTAAGTCAACCCCAACCTAAAAGTTATTTCAGTTTTGAAGCTGTCAAGGGGCACGACTTAAAAAAATGTGAAATTGTCTGCTGTAATGATCAATCATCGTGCAATGACTTATTTACCCGCATTATTAGAGGATTGTGGCTTCTACTTGAAAGAAAATTTGTTTTGAATTGTTCACGAATATTTGCATCTTAACTATTCAAAACTCAAAGTGCTAAATGGAAAAAAAGTTGAATAGAATAGTGTCTAAATATTATATATATTTCATTAGACATAGACATTTAATTTATTTCAAGTCCTGCATTTTCGCCTTTAAGAAGAAAGGAGGTGTCCAACGAATATAGAAAACATCTAAACTTTGTAATGGAAATGTATCAAAATTATCATGTAAACAAATAAAAACCAGATTGTCAAAAAAATATTCTGTCATTATAAACGTCAAAAAAATTTCCAGTATAATTCGCTGTTGGGTACCCACGAGGAAAAAATTTCCACTAAAATTCAACCGTTGCCATGGTGATCTATCAAAAATACACGTTTTGATTGGTTAAAAATTACAGGTGTGGAATTTTCTTTAAAAAAATATTTATAAATTTTGACACATACGTCAGATTTTATGAATTGTCAAATAGTTTCCTTTAATTCTAGAAATAATCTAGACGTATATCACTCAACCTATAAATTTAATCTGTCAAACTATGCTCAGTAAGTTTTTTATTTGATTTTTCTTTTTGGAAAATAGTTTCATGGAAAATAATTAAAAATAAAACCCCTCGACCGCTACGCGGTCTCGTGATTTTATTAAATTATTTTGCATTCAACATTTTCCAACAAAAACCAAACAAAAAACTACTGAGCCTAGTTTAACCGATTAAATTCATAGTTCTCGTGATATAATATATGAATATTTTTATTAACTTTTTCATTTAAAATTAAATAATGTGCATTACAAAATCGAAAAAACATTCTGCCCACCTTATCCCATTATAATTTTTCCATATATTTTGACCACGAACATCAACATTTTTTTATGGACGCGTTTTAAAAATATGAATTTTCAATTGTTTTTTTTTCAATTTTCGGAAGTGTTTTGACGTTTTAAAAGTAAAGTAAAATATTTGTTTTTGATTTCTTAAATACTTTTATATCAAGTAAACAAATCTTGACCCCAAAGTAAAATTAAAAGGAAAACTACTTACCTCAGTCAGAGGTCAACTTAATTAAGTCAACAAAATAGGAGAAAATATGAATGCCATCTTAAAAACTGTTTGGACATTGTCTATCTTTTAAATTGACGATGGGAAAATTTTAAACAATTTAATTAACAAACAGCTGTTAATTGAAAATGGTATTCAAAAGTTTATATGAAAATGTTTATCCCAGAGCCAAACTTTATTAAGTCCACTTTTATTAAATCACGCTACATATTTTTTGCCTACAATGTTCCGCTCTTTTCAACAGGATTAAGTCCAGGCATATTTAGTTTTTTGATTTGCTAAAAACAGTCTAACTCTGGGGTACAGAAATAGACTTTAGAATATACAGGGTGTCTCATTATGTCAAACAACAATTTTTTTCAAGCGTACCTACAATAATTTTCATATCATAAGACTCATAAGTCTATAGTCTATATAGAAAGACATATTAATACTAGTTCAAAAGTCAAATTATTAATAAACTCCGTTAAGAAATAAAGCTAAAATTTCATCTGTTAAACCTAACCTAAAATGAAGTAAAAGAATCTTAATAAATTATTTTAGTAAATGCTTGAAAAAGTAGTATATTATTATACGAGAGATAATACCGAGTGTAATACTATTCTTTATACTCCAATAAATACATAATTAAATGATTTTTAAAAATAAATAAATAAAATCTGACATCTGTCAAATGGTTAACCTTACTTTTTACCAATCTTAAATGTTATTATAGTCACCTTTTCCAATTTAAACCCGACTGGTTCAAATCACAGTGAATATTGAAATCGGCCAATCACTGTTGACAAACAACGTTAATAATGAGTTCATTATTCGCGTTGTTAAGCAGGGAATTTATAATGTTTATTATTATTCACGAAAAATAAACAATACTATCCAATGGGAGTAGATAAAATAGTATATAATATGTGCTGATCTATAATGTACCTACTTTTATTCATTTAAAAATAAAAAAGGGAATGACATAACGTAACAATATAATAAATTTTCAAAAAATACCATAGACAAATAATCATAGATGACCGAAAAAAGTGAGGTTGCATCGGTCTAAAAGTTTTTAGATAATAAACACAGAGATGGTATGTAGCGTGTATTTTTAAGGTCAAATTAATGGTTTATATAAAATTAGTTTAATTTAAAAAGAATTTATTGTAATTGTATTATTCTCATGCCTATATATCTAGGATGTCATGTTAAACTTGTATAGTATACTGCGGTATTTTTGAAATTTGAGGGTTTGTAATATGGAGCCTACACAAGGAGTCCGAACTTCATGTATACAAAAATCTTAATAAGATACCTCTTATCACAATCAGCGCCGCTGGTGGTGAAAAAACAATACCTAATTTGGGCAATGTACTTTGCAGGTTTTTTGACAATTTCCCCTATTATTTTGGACTCCTTGTGTATATACAGGGTGTCCGGAAATTAATGCAATACAAATTTAGGGGACACGTATTTTTTAGTCACTTGCCACCGCCAGCCACCTACGATTAACACGTAAGAATTTCATAAAAACATTACGTTTTACAAAAAAATTTCAAAAGACAAACGGTTCTAAATTGAATGTACTTAATTACAGGTTAATATTATAAAAAAGCAACCAAAGTTTTATGGCTCCAAAGACAACGGGGCGGGCCTATGAAAAAGCGTCTCAAGGGGGTCCCCAGCCAAAAACCAGATTCAGATTCCACATATCAAAAAAACCCTGTATACCAAATTTAGTGATTCTGGTACAACAGGGTTCTGAGATATAAATATCTCAGAACCCTGTTGTACCAGAATCACTAAATTTGGTATAAGAAAAACACTATTCTTATGGGCTGTATCTCCGAAAAAGGGGGCCAATTGGCAAAACTAAAAAAATCGTATCCTCTAAATTTGTCTGGAGAATCTGTGACCAAATTTTGTTGCATTAATTTACGAACACCCTGTATGTAGGCTCCATGGTTTGTAACACAATTAGATATAAATATATTTTTTTTTAATTTATTATAAATAATAAAATATAATTTGTATATGGGTAATTCTTTTACAAACCGAACACCTTTTGACCGACACATCTCAGATTTGGCTAAAACTTTTTTTACGAAATCTATGTCAAAAATAAGATACACGTGTCCGAGGAATTTTTTTTTTCTCGCATATTTTCGATAATACAAGCTATCGAAAATTTGAGAATAACGAGTTTTTTGGCTTGGAGACTCATTTTCAAAAATGTATAACTCTGGTTCTATTTGAGATACAAACTTCTTTTTTTTTTCATTTTAAGGCTAAAGGACTGAATTTTGATAAAAAAATATGTTTAATAAATATTATTAACCAAGTCATATTGTTATTAACAATTTCATTGTTTAAATCAATTTTTAAAAATATAAAATATAAAAGTTGTAGATAATAAATAGATCTACAATTTTTGTTTTAACTATTTTTCTACATAACCTCACTTTTCAAATAAATTTAAAAAAATGTTAAAAATCACCTCTTTTAAAACATTTTTTTATAATTTATAATTAATTGATGTTTTTTTCATGGTATTGATTGCTAATAAATTTAAAAGAGGTGATTTTTAAAATTTTTTTCAATTTATTTGAAAAGTGAGGTTATGTCGAAAAATAGTTAAAACAAAAATTGTAGATCTATTTATTATCTACAACTTTTATATTTAACTTTTTTTGATCCGAGCTATAGTTTTCTTTTTTATTAACAAAAAACCGTTTTTTTGTGTGTCGCGGAATATGAATTAATGTTTTAACAATAGTAATAATACAGGTACCATATTTTGAAAACATGTTTTTTATGTAAAATTTGACGGAGAATACGATAAAAATACTAAAAACTTAATACGAGGTGGGGGCCATTGTTAAAAATTGATTTAAACAATGAAATTGTTAATAACAATATGAATTTGTTAATAATTTTTATTAAAAATATTTTCTTATCAAAATTCGGTTCTTAAGCTTTAAAATGAAAAAAAAAAGATGTTTGTAGCTCAAATAGAACCGGAGTTATAAATTTTTGAAAATGGGTCTCCAAGCCAAAAACCTTGTTTTTCTCAAATTTTTGATCACTTGAATTATCGAAAATATGCGAAAGAAAAAAATCCTCGGACACGTGTCTCTTATTTTTCGATATAGAATCCGTAAAAAAAGTTTCAGCCAAAT